TCGAGTTTCCACTGACCAGCAAATCAGCTGTGGGAACAACAGGACCTGTCGAGCTAGACACCAATGCAGGAGATGATGAGAAGGGGCACTATACAGACTCTGGCAAGGCATCCTTTCATGGCAAGAGAAAATACGATGACCAAAACAATACTTGGCATGAGCACCGATGGAAGGGAGATCATTGGCATGATGGAGCATGGCAGGATTATGGCTATGCCAACAACACTTGGCAAGACCAATGGTCAAAAGATAATGAATGGCAGTCTGATGATGGTTGGTCCTATGACAAGCCTGACAAGTCATGGGTGGACAACTCCTACGGCAATTGGAACCAAGAGGAGTCAAAGAAAGGCCAAGATCAAAAGCTATGGAGTCCATATTTGCCGAAAGGATGGGAGATGAAGTGCGCTGTTTTCACAAACAGCTATTTGCAGAAGGACTGGAGCAAGTGCGACTCTCTGGTCTACAAGCTTCTTGTATTTTGATTAGTGTGTGTTTTTTTTGGTTTTTGTTTTGATGAAATGCATTCACAAAGCGAATAAATCAATATGTGCTGCCAGGTTTTTGAACAACAAGAAGTTCAAGGAATTGGTCGATATTGTCAATCGACAATGAACCTTGTACTTAAGACAAATCACAAGTGAATTCAAATTTAGAATTCACTTTGCAAATTTGGGCAAATGAATTCTAAATTTAAATTCACTTATGCTTTTTTGGCAAGTGAATTCAAAATTCAAATTCACTTATGGTTTTTTAATAAGTGAATTTGAAATTTAAATTCACTTACCATAGTTTCAGTTTTGTAGTTTTGTTTTCATATTACTAAATATTTATATTTTTTGTTGTTTTGGTAGATATGTTTTAAGTATATTATTTTAATCATATCAATAAGTTAATTATATGTGTTAAACTTATATTTGTGTTATATATATTTTTTTGTTTTGAAATGACATCATTATTGCTGAGGAGACTTTGCGGATAGGATGGCAATCAGAAATCCTGGAGCCTGGCAAGAACCTACAGTGACTGGAGATAAAAAAGAGCTCACCTTTCTGTGTATTTTTGCTGTTTGCAATATGCAATCTGTCATGCACCCTAGAAAGGTTTGTTGTTCTCATATTGGATGAGAAATTTGTTTCAAACAGATTTGTATATTGTTTTCTTTTATGTCGCATTGCTTTTCACTTGGCAGTGATGTGCAGCTAGCCTTTTCATTGGCAAGTGTTGCCAAATCAATGGCATGCCTTTTGAATGGCAATCATTGGCAGCTAACCTTCACATTGGCAAGTGTTTGCCTATTCAATGGCATGCCTTTTGAATGGCATCAATTAGCAGCCAGCCTTTTCATTGGCAGGGGTTGCCTTCTCAATGGCATGCCTTTAGTATGGCATATTAGTTGGCAGTGATTGTAATGCCTGTTGTTGGCAAGCCAAAGCAATGGCAATGATAAAGGTTTATAGATGATGCTTTTAGCTTTTTGACAACACATTGTATTGTATTCTTGCTTTGTGCTTCATCATATGATAAGATACTACATGTTGAGATTTAGGCTCTGGCTGTGCTAGCTGGTGTTTTGAAAAGCTTTTGCCCAGCACCATGAATGCACATGAGCTCAAAGATGAATTGTTGGCTGTGGCTGCTCTGATACAATCAAGGAAGAGCCTTTCTCCTGATGAGAACAAATGCACAGCCCAGCAGAAAGAAGAAGCTTTGGTGGTGAATCTGGCAAGCAAGATTCAATCAAGCCTGGTGTGCAGCTTGGCTGAAGCCACAACTTTGTATGATACACTGCAGGGCTGTGTCATGGAAGGCCAGTACAAGAACAAGCTCAGAGATAGCATTGATGCTGTGCTATCTGCAAGCCCCACAAGTACAATGGCAGTGTCAGTGAAACCACAGAAGCTAGTTCACCTGCATCACTACTTGACCCAGGGGGACTGGGATGTGTTGCAGTCACAAGAAGCCACTTACATTGCCAAGTGCAAGTGTATAGCCACAAGGTGGGTAACCTTGGGGATCAGAAGCCTGGGAGAGCAAACAAGCAAAAATGGATGTGCAGTACTCCTGTGCCAGTATGCCAAGATCCCAGACCACAGCTTGATCAGCCAGATGGTCAGTGATTTGAAAAA